GGTGGATAAGACGTTGGGGAGCAATTGTGACGCCCTCACAATGGCCAGACCCAACATCACCAGACTTTTTTCTTGTGATGTGTACGGAAAGATTATGTTTACAGGCTCAAACCGAAGACAAGTGCTGAATTAAAACATGCAATTTCTGATGGATTTTTAGAAATTAATGTAGGAATGTGTCAAATGGTTTGTTGAAGTGTTGCTGATAGGGTTCAATATTATATTCAACATGAAGGGGGGCATTTAAGTGGTCTGTTAAACATAACAAATCTTTTTATGAATTTTCTTAAACTACTGTAGTTTATTTTTGTTCAATAAATTTGATAAATAAAAAAGTGCGTTACTTTTCCACACTGTGTATTATATAATATATACATACATACATATATATATATATATATATATATATATATATATATATATATATATATATATATATATATATGTATGTATGTATATATTATATACATATATTATATAATATACATACATATATATATATATATATATAAGTGTTGTATATGTAAATGTGTATTCAGTAGATAGAGGTAATATATATATATATATATATATATATATATATATATATATATATATATTCTGTCAGTAGACCTTGTTTTTTATCTGACTAAAATGTGATCAAAACACTTCATCCGAATTGACTACAGATCAACCATCGATTTTCCGTCTTCTTTAATTTTAGGTTGTTTTCCCGGACTAAAAGTGGTCACGCATAAAAAATTCAACAATGCATCTCTGATCCGGAATTTCTCTTTTAGAAATGAATATTAAGTTCTTATTAAATGGCAATGATATGAATAAAACGACTGAATAAAACACATCAGAATAAATGATCCTGTGAAATGGATTGCGCATCAATATAGTCGGATTAAAAATGTTGGTGATGATAGGTTACCGGAAAATCGATGGTTCATCTGTATTCGAAACTTTTTCTCTCGTAATGTTATATGTTATATAAGATTAAAAGACAATTTGAAACCAGAAGTTGGGCTTATAGAATTATTTTTTTTAATTTCTTTTATTATTTGAAACGCAAACAAATCATAATGCGCATCAAGAGTTTCGATCCATTGTTGGCCAGATTCAAAAGAAGGACAGGTGTGAGAACCCGTGTCTTTAGAATGGATTGACAGAAACACAGACTAAAGAGAAAATGCGAATAAAATTTTGGTGATCGTTTTAGTCCAATTAACATATCGACCAGCTAAAACTTTAATTACAGAGTTTGTATGCATAAACATAAGTGTGTGTGTGAAAGAGTCAACGTGCCACAAGCTTTATTTATAACAAGGCAATATATATATATATATATATATATATATATATATATATATATATATGTATGTATATATGTTTGTGTGTGTTTCATTGATGATGACTAAGAAAGTGCATCGCTTAGCCCGAGATCTTCTCTTGCCCTAACATGCGGTGGCTGCAGACATCTCTTCAAATCCAATATAGAACTCATTTCACGCAAAAGGAAATGTCGATGAGCGCCCCAATACTCAGTAACGATAAGAACTTTCAAAATGATGTTTGAATCCGAGTGCTGCAGCCACCTCTTGATAGGGTACGATGGTTCGGGGGATGGAGATCTTTGGCATGGCTTTCGGTACTTTTCTCGCTTGTATTTGTTTTTTAGTGTATGCAAGAGATTTTTGTTTTCTTTTTCGTGGATTGCCGTTCTCCAGTTGTGCGCATGCAAGAAAAATATAATAAATGCTTAATCGTAGTGCCTTGTCAGTCATCTTAAATGAAACCTGTATAAAAGAGGGATTGCTACCCAAATGCACAATTATATATATATATATATATATATATATATATATTGTGTGTCTGTGTATTTAGGCAGCATTTTTTCATTGATGCAAGTTTCATTAAATAATATATCAATATTGTGATTTTCTTTTCTTCCTTTTAAGCTTATCAGACGATATGAAAAGAATTTACATAAAATAAATAGACAAAACTTGTCTATATTATTTAATGAAACATGCATCAATATATATACATATATATATATATATATATATATATATATATATATATATATATATATATATATATATATATATATATATTGTTGGGCACATTTTGAATGCTGACTAATCGATACATTCTGTAACAGGTTGTTTTATTTAGGATATTTTGTGTCAGATATTTTCCAGAGAAGATGGGAAAAGCGTATCCATTTTCAAATTATCCTTTAGAAAAATAGTTCTTACTTCGATTCAAAGTCAAAATCCACCTGCGTTATTATTTTAATCAAGGTATATGGTATTCATATTGTGACACGCAATCCCTACGTCTCTGGAAATGTTTGCTTTCGATTTTCAAATAATGAAAAGTGGACAGAAGGTCTGTGATGTCTCGTCTGCGCGCGTGAACGTGAAATCGCGCGTGATTTCGCAAGATGCAAACGCGGGTGTCACTCTGTGTGAATCGGTACGATGACGTGTATATGCGCGCCATTGTGTCGATGTGAAAAATTGTCCACGGAAAAATGAAAAGGAGAAAAAGAAAGAAAAAGAAAACACCTTGAATAAAATCGTTGTTTTAACCCTTGAACGCATGACCAGTTTTTGTTTCAAGATGAAAGATTTGGTAATAAACAAACAAGTATACATATTTTTTAAGGTTACAAAAAAGTACATTAATTTCTGTATCTGCCAAGAGACAAAAATGTAAGTCAGAAAAGGACATAGACGTGAAATATATATATATATATATATATATATATATATATATATATATATATATATATATATATATATATATATATAGACAGACATGAAATATATATCATGAACTCTAATTTCCATGGTAAAAGAAAGGAAAAAACAAAATTTCACGTAGTGCCAAAACAAAAGAGAATACATGAAGATAGATAGTAACGACTGACGTATCGTTTGAATTGTTTTTACGGTTTATCAACACTTGAGAGTTATTTAATGCGGAGATATATCTTCGATTGTAAGAATATTTCTATACAAGAAAATGTGGCATAAACAATTTTTGGAGTTAATATTGATTTTTTCAAGATACAAGTTCCTCTATTTAACCCATAGCTGGTGGGACAGACAAGATGGATTCACATCTTTTCCAAGGCCATTTGCGCGTAAGTATATATATATATATATATATATATATATATATATAAACCTCTACTATTCAAAAGACCTATCTTCTCTTACTGGAGGAAGGAAGAAAATAAATAACATTTCAGAGTTTAGGTGAAGTATTAAATAAGATTTCACAGTTTAAACGGAGGCATTAGAAGTATAGAGTTGAAGTAGACTTTAGAAGGAACCGGAAACCCAATCCTAAACAGGAAACAAGGGAAAAACCTCTACTCCTATTCAAAAAACCTATCTACTCCTACTGAAGGAAGAAAATATATAAATAACATTTCAGAATTTAGGCGGAGACGTTAGAAGTATAGACTTGAAGTAGACTTTAGAACGAAGCGGAAACCCAATCCTAAACAGGAAACAAGGGATAAACCTCTACTCCTATTCAAAAACCCTATCTACTCCTACTGAAGGAAGAAAATATATAAATAACATTTCAGAGTTTAGGCGGAGACGTTAGAAGTATAGAGTTTTAGTAGACTTTATTTAAACGAAACCCAATTTTAAATTTCGTTTAAATATTTTAATTTTAATTCTTATAAACATGTTATGTATTCCTTTATCGGCTATTTACAGTCCTCAATATTAATCAGAGAAACAAGATTTCGTTTTTTTTTTTCAATAAAATAATTATTGCCGTAAAAATTTCCGATTCGATCTGTTCAACATCATCTGTAATCAGGTGAACTGAAATGCAAATGTCCTTCAGAAGAGAAAGTTGTGGCTTTGTTGAAATTAAATGTAAATTTGTGGATTTTATTTTAGGCAATAAATAACCCCAAGTGACGTTTTATTAAAAGTACAACGAATTCGTTAATATTCGTGGAATGACAATGTTTCTCAAGATCTTCTATCTTCATGTGATTTCTTTTACTTTTGCCAGACGGAATTGACGTGAAGAAAAATGTTCGCGCATGCGCAGCAGTTGTAAGAGCGCAAAAGAACATGTATTTCAAGTTCAACATTTAAAAGATGAGACATTTAATTATACATTACAGGGGCCGCCATTCATTCTTTCCTTCTTTTCGTCTATTTCCCTATTTCAAGCTTCATCAAATTTCGACAGTTATTTTTAACTTTTTTTAATTTTCTTTTTCACAAATTTTTATTTGTTTAATTCTTTTAAAACATCTTTCTTTCTTTCTTTTTATCCTTTGCCGTCTTTCTTTTATTTTTCCTTTTTTTTCTCCAAATCTTTCTTTCTTTCTTTCTTTCTTTCTTTCTTTCTTTCTTTTTTGCTTACTGTTTCCTTTGCCATCTTCTTTCTTTCTTTCTTTCTTTCTTTCTTTCTTTCTTTCTTTTCTAAATCTTTCTTTTTATGATTTGCCATACGTTTCTTTTTCTTTCTTTCTTTCTTTCTTTCTTTCTTTCTTTCTTTCTTTCTTTCTTTCTTTTCTAAATCATTCTTTTTTATCTTTTTTTCTAAATCTTTCTTTTTATTCTTTGTCATATTTTCTTTCTTTCTTTCTTTTCTTTCTTTCTTTCTTTCTTTATTTTTATTTTCTTTTCTAAATCTTTCTTTTTATGCTTTGATATATTTTCTTTCTTTCTTTTCTAAATCATTCTTTTTATCTTTTTTTCTAAATCTTTCTTTTTATTCTTTGTCATATTTTCTTTCTTTCTTTCTTTCTTTCTTTCTTTCTTTCTTTCTTGACATATTTTTCTTTCTTTTCTAAATCTTTCTTTTTATGCTTTGATATATTTTCTTTCTTTCTTTCTTTCTTTCTTTCTTTCTTTCTTTCTTTCTTTCTTTCTATGCCACCCATCGCATTCCTTCCATAAAGGCCAACAAAGAAAAAGAACAGCGTCAACATTTTAAATATAAATCAAGGTCACGTGGTATCAAACCTGGCATGTCGCCGCTGATGATGCTGCGTTGCTCATCGGCAAGGTCTCTTCTTGCGCTTTCCATTGGCATAGAATCAGTTGATTCATCATCCTGACCGCCATTTGCATCTAAAAACGTAATATGAGCGTATCGCTGCACCAATGGATGTTCCTCTTTGGCCGGAAGTACGGGCAACCTACCGGAAGATAATAAACAAAACAATTCAAAACGAGGTTTTTTTAAACTGTGCTTAGGAGAGCAAACGATTTATTAGATACAATTATCGGAAAAAATCTTCGCCGGATTTTACCAAATTATTAAAATATATTAATTTACAAATTAAAGAAAATTTAATATTATTAAAAATTCTTCTTCTTCAGGAGGAAAGCGATCATGGCTCTCCACAATTTACTGTCCTTTATGACGCTTAATAAATTTTATCTTTTTGTATTCTCTCCTGTTCCGCCATCCATTTACTCAAAATCGCTAGATAGGTTAAGCCTCTCTCCATCTTATATTCAAGCTGTCTTGGGCGTATCAATTTTTCTAAGCCCTCTGTCCTCATTATGTACCATAGAAATTGCAACTGCCTCTTCCTGATGTTAAGTATAACTTTCCTTTTTGTTTCCATTTTCTCTAAAACCTCGTCATTGCTCACATGTTCGGTCCATGGTATCCTCAGCATCCTTCTGTAGAAATTTCAACTGCCTCTTCCTGATGTTCAGTATAAATTTCCTTTTTGTTTCCATTTTCTCTAAAACCTCGTCGTTGCTCACATGTTCGGTCCATGGTATCCTCAGCATCCTTCTGTAGAACAGAATTTCTTTTCTTCATCTGTGAGGAGATTATCCACCATTTATTACCATATAGGAGGACTGTTATTACGTACCAGTTCAGTAGAGTTTTCTTTTATTATAACATAATTTTCCCGTTTTTTAATACTTTGCTTAGCTTTTCGAAGACATCTTTCGCCCTTCCAATACACCTTCGGATTACAGTGTCTCGTGTTCAGTCTGCTGTTAAAATACTTCGTAGATATTTAAAGTTTTGCATTTGCTTGATTTTGGTATCCCCAGTTTGTAATCCTCAAGTTGATCTGTCCCTTTTGTTGACAACCAAACAGTGAATCTTTTTAATGAATACTATTAAAACGCATTTCGTTGGATAGATTAAACATGTTAAAACAAATACTTTTCATATTCCGGTTAAAGGTAAGGATTTTCTTATCTGAGTCTATCTTTCACATTTACAAATCTGCCATTCGTCCTTGCATTGAATACTGTTACCATATATGGTCTGTTGTCCGCGCTGTTCATCAGGAGGTTCTCGACAAAATTCAAAGACGGATTTGCAATATGGTCGGTCCTGACTTTGGGTTTCGACTTCAGTCACTTTCTCACAGATGTGTTGTGGCTTCCCTCTGTCTTTTTTAGAAATACTTTCATGACAACTGCTCCGACAGAGCTATTTTCACTGGTGCCCCAACTGCATGAATTTAAGCGTGCTACTGGATTGGCATCCTGGTCCCACCATTTTACTGTCGAAACAGTTAAATGTAACCGCCTCTTCTACTCAAACAGCTTCTTCCCGACAGTGGAACTCCCTTCCTCTTATTTGCTTCCCTGATAGCTATAATCTTCAAAAATTTAAATGTTATGTCAATCGACATCTTCTGATGATTTAATTCCCGTTCTTTTTATCCTTTCCTTCCCACCCCATACCCATTCTTTTCCCTTAATTACACTCACTATAGCCCCTTGCGTACTAGTGGCACTCCCGCCTTGCTTGGGGTGAAATGCTTAACCCTAGAACACTAACCATCACTTAAAGTTACACCACTACTAACCATACCCGATTTTGAAAATATCAAAAAAAAAAAAAAAAAAAATTAATATAAATCTTTATTTGAAATATTTTACATGCTGGCACTTCAAACATTGTAGTTTGAGTTAACATTAATAGGAACTGAAAAAAACATATTATTTAGGTAAGAAAATCAGGTACTGGAAATTGTAATTAAAAATAGAAAAAATTGCGCTGGGTACTATATACCCATGGTTAGTGTTCTAGGGTTAAAAAAAGAAGCTATTTACCTAATAAAAAGCAGTCATTATTTACATTATTCGGTTCGGACTCTTGTCCTCATCTCATGTTTCGGCCGTTGTACGCTCTGGCCTTCTTCAGGTGATTGGAATTTCGAATTGAACCCTTTATTTCGCTCACTGGGGTAGACTGTTCTAGTTCCACGTGCCATGTTCAATGGATGTCAGTTATCTCCTGTTAATTCCCCTCTCCAAGTTCTCCACTTAACTGGGTATTGAACTCACACTCTTTGGGTACTGTCACTGGATCTAACCAACGCCTTTATCCCCTGTGCCATGTGTCCTTGAGAAAATATGTCGACAAAGATGAGGACAATAGTCCGAATAATGTAAATAATGTACATAATCCCTCATCTCAGAAATATAGACAGACAAAAACCAGTCATTACCAGAATGAAATCAAACTTACTCGGCCGGTTCATTGGGGTCGATATGGTTTTTCTGCGAGGTTCGATCCGTTGAAGACCTCGCGTAAAACATTGTGGCATAATCTTCATTATATTGATCCCTTTGCAGGTATTCCTCTGTCATTGGTGTTAATTTTGTAAACGTTGGCTTCGAACTGAAAAGAAAGAAGAAAGACATTTTGAAAGACAGCGAACAACGTGTAATGTAAAATTTGTCTGTTTCCATAGGCAGGCAAGGGTTTGGGGTGAATCACAAATAGTTTCCGTTTTTGGTTTATCAACTTTATTCTTCAAAAATGAAATTGCAATTACATTTTATTCAATTATATGGTCACCGTTATTTACAATGACTTGTTGCCACTTAGCAGGCAGCTCTTCGAGATTAAAAGAATGTGAATGATAGGGAGATAAAGTGAGAGAGAAAGAGACAGGAAGAGAGAGATAGAGAGGGGGAGAGGGAGAGAGACAGGGAGAGAAGAGAGAGAGAAAGGGAAGAACGATTGAGAATAGCAGAGAGAGATGAAGACAGAATGAGTGAGAGATGAACACAACTGAGAATGGTAATAGAGATAGATGAACAGACAGAATGACAGAGAGAGAGAGAGAGAGAGAGAGAGGTGAACGGATAGAATGAGCAAGAGAGAGAGAGAGACAGAGAGAGGGAAGAAAGATTGGGAATGACAGAGAGAGAGAGAGATGAAAAGACAGAATGAGCGACAGAAAAATGACCAGACTGAGAATGATAGATAGATAAATAAATGGACAAAGATTGAGTGTGAGAGAGAGAGAGAGAGAGAGAAAGATGAAAAGAGAGAGAGAGAGACAGAGAGAGGGTGGGGTAGGTGGAAAGATTGAGAATGACAGAGGGAGAGAGAGAAATAAATGGACAGAATCTGTGAGTGTTGAACAGACTCAGAATGATAAAGAGATTGATAGGCGAACAGAGAGAATGAGGAAGTGGAGAGAGAGAGATTAATTGATAGAGAGAGAGATGAAGAGAGAGAGAGAATGAGAAAGAGAATAAGAACGATTGAGAATGACAGAGAAAGATGAGAAGACAGAATGAGTGAGAATGAGAGAGAGCGAGAGAGAGAGAGAGAGAGTGGGAGAGAGATGAACAGATAGAATGAACGATAGAAAGAGAGAAGAAAGAACGATGGAGAATGACGGAGAGAGATGAAAAGACATAAGTGAGAGTGAGAGATTGATCCGAAGACAGGGCCGTACTGAGCCATCCTTCGCCCAAAGATGGAAGACTTGTCATCATCTGCCCGAAGACAGAGGGTCTTGTCTTGACGCGAGCCTTCATTATTTCTACTCTTGTGTTCGTGTTATTCTTCCTTGACTGGGAGAGAGAATTCGAGAGCAAATTTTATGAATTTTGGCAGTTTGTAATTTAGTCAGAAGAAAGTAAATTTTGCCAATATTCTAATTTGAGATTGGTTTATGTTTGGAGAAATCAGAATGAGACTTGGAACTTGAATCAGAATGAGACTTGGAACACTGAATGTCTGCAGGCGACCGTGAAACATGGAGGGATTGGAGTAATGGTGTGGGGTCCTGTCTGGTCTGGAGGGAAATCTGAGCTGATTCTTGTTGACAAGCGGTTAAATGGTTCAAAATACAGTCAAATATTAGAGAAAGGACTACCACTATTTGAAACAGCCAGATTGATAAGAATGTTTACCTTTTTTCAAGAAGATGGAGCGCCATGTCATATAAGCAAAGTAGCAAAACTCTTGAATCAATCGCAAGGAATCAAGTTACTGCCATGGGTAGCTAAAATCCTGACATTAATCCAACAGAGCACGTTTAGGAGCACCTTGATCGAAGACTTCGAGAGAGTGCAACCAAAATCACATCAGTGGCAACCCTTAAAGAAATATTACTAAAGGAGGGGAAAAATATGGCTCAGACGATTCTTGATAACTTGATCAAATCCATGAAAAATCGAATACAAGCACTGAAACTAGCGAATGGAAGACCTACTCTATACTAGTTCCAAATACTGTTTGTTTATGTTGAGTAGGGATTACGTAATTAAATTTTATAGTTTATTTCTCCTGGCTAAAACTTTTCTTAGGTCACTGTATAGCAGGTGTTTTTTTGAATTGTATACGTGAGTTTCATGTGAGGTCTGCATTGCACTTGTGACCCAATAGGCGTCCAAGGCATGGAGCATAACCCTAACCCTGACCCTAACCTTTAATTGGCAACAGTTCATCGGGATTGGAAAAAAAAAACAGAATCTGATGAAGGATGATGAAAAGCTTTTTTTTAAGGCTCTGAAAGTTACGAGCTAGTGTTTGAGCAGTTGGAGTTCTCGATCAGCTGTAGGCCTCTGATCATAACGATTTTTGGAAGTGGGCCTATCAACAGCGGTCTCATTTGCTTAAATATTTACTAATAATCTGAGAATAACCCAAGGCTGATCATTAATACAAAGGAGAGCACTTTGAACCGAGGATAAAGCCTTGGTGGATGTCAGCTTGAAATCAAGCTTTAATCTTTTTTTTTTTCAGCCAAATGAGATACGGACTAAAAAGAGGAAAAATGTTCTTTTCCTAAAGTAACACAGTCGTTTTGTGGAGAAATTGACGGTTTAGGCGAGAGAAGGAGGAATGTACTTACCAGGGTTGTTGGTTCTTGTTGACTAAAAGCTGTTGCATTTTTAGAACTTTCTTTTATAGTTAAAAGGGCCTCGTGACTTGTTACCACGTGGTCCCTGAAGTGGTTATAAAGGAAACGTTTTTTTTCCTTGTTTTCTTCGCTCTTCTTGTAACTCACTGTAAGTTATCTGACGATTAAGCTACTTCGCGGAAGGAAGTATGTTTTAGCAACTTAAGGTAAGTACTTTTGCACCTTTCCTCGGCCTAGGTGTCTCTTTTACCGGGGCTGGCAAAATAGTGTGGGTGTCAATTTTACCGGAACTTGCAAAATAGCATTTGGGTCGATTTTACCGCGACTGGCAAAATAACCTTGGTGTCTATTTTACCGCGACTGGCAAAAGCGCTTTAGTGTCTACTTAATCGGATCTGGCAAAATATCCTTCGTGTTTATTTTACCGGTGCTGGCAAAATAGTCTATTCGAAGAAAACAAAAGGGGTTAATTTCCAGCATTTCTTATTCATTTCGGCAACTACTTTCCGTGTCCCACTGCTTAATATTTGCATAAACATTTTCCGGGATGCTAATTAACACTACTTTTAATTGGTTACACCAACCGCTGAATTCAGTGACAAATCTTCAGGAGGTGCCACAGTGCATGAGATAATTTGAAAGAAAATGGCGGCCAGGTGCAAAAAAGAAAATAATTTAGTTGGCTAATTAAATTTGAGTAGTGTGAATTCGGCCAGTAAAGCAATGCTAGCGAAAAAACACAGCTATTGGCAAACAAATATATATATATATATATATATATATATATATATATATATATATATATATATTGGTTGGTTTGTTTTACGGCATATCAACCTCAATGGGTCATTTAATTCCGACAACTTTTCATTCCTGGTAATATTTTTGTTTTGTCAAAAATCTATTTCTGTTAATATTTTTTTCCTCAAAAATGTATTGCTGGTAATATTTTTTCAAGAACGTATACCTGGTAATATTATTTTTTCAAGAACATATAGCCGGCAACATTATTATTTCAAAAACATATCAGAGGCCTTGCTGTTGGACGTAGTTTATCGTCTTACCCAGGACGCGGATGTAGTTTATTGTCATACCCAGGACGCGGATGTAGACTGGGTGTTAACTATTTACCCATAGCTGGGACCCTAACAGATGCTACCACCCCAGGTCAGGGTGGACCTGGGAACACCAGCAATTAAGAGGCGGTTCCACGCTGCTCAAAACCTCCTGATCAGAGGCCTTGCTGCTGGACGTAGTTTATCGTCTTACACAGGACGCGGATGCAGTTTATCGTCATACCCAGGACGGATATATATAAGTAATAGAAATTATTAGGAGGATTTAGGATGATTATAATTAAGTAATTCATCGAGTCTAGAAGAAACCTCAACAGAATGCAGAAAGCACTGGACGGCTGTTTCGTTCCATATTTGGAACTCATCAGCAGTGCGCATCCACTACCGAGAATTGAAACCAGGACAGTTACGTTATCAGGCAAATGTCATATCAATTGGATTTTCGACACAGAACTCTTTATTTAATCCACAGGTGTAGGTTCTTCTAATTCCACGTACTTTGGTAGCTTGCCTTGATAATTCGCAGAGGGCAGGGATTGAACCCACGACTCTATGGGTTAAGTCACTTTTTGAATCAATCAACCAACGCTTTTAGGCACTGAACGAAACAATGTCCGAACGATGTAAATAGTGTAAATAGCCAAAATGTCACAACACCGAAATATAGAAAGATAATTTTCGAGAGTCTTTCATAAAGGAAATATGCCTTACAGGAGGGTTCGAACCTGTGTCTCTTTCTCTGTAAAAGTTGCAATGAGTACTGGACATTTGCGTCCCGGACAATTGCGTCCATAAACATTTGCGTCCCTAGACTGATATGTCCGGGAAAGGGATATATTTGTTCGAAGTAGCAAAGTGGTTTTGGATTACTGTAACCGAGTAGGACAATCTAGCAAGTAACCGTAATAGACTGGTCCTCGTCGTAGGGATAGGCAATAGGCGTAGGCAATTGGCGTCCTCCTGTACCTCCACATCAGTCTGTATTTATGGCTGACACCAGTCAATCATATTTACCAGTGAGGGGGTACCCAGGTGTATGCATATTCATTACATCAAATGCGTTTCTGGATAACTGCGTATCTCTGATAATTTTTTGAAGCTTTTAAAGGCAATTATCATAATTTTTTTTAAAAAAAAAGAAGAATTGGTAGCAATCCTAATTTTTTAAAAAAGGAATAAAATAAAAAAGATTTACAGTTTATTTTTGTTTAAATTACAATGACAGATAAACAATGTTGCAAAATCGTTCTACACATTGACAGTATATTTTTTGTTTCATCGGCGTTTTTCTTATGATAATGGTAGCTGTAATTTTCTTCGTCCACCAGTGTTTAATTTCCGAAACTTGGCCATGGGTTCCAAATAAAAATATAATCTATAAAATCCAGAATCTATTAGATGTTTGTGATAAGCATTGCTGGAGTGAACTGAAAATGCTAGATAAATTTTGTCTTGTTTTAAAAAAGAATCTTTTATCTCTTTTTTTATTTTTGGTAACTACTTTTCTGCTTGGTTAGAGTCATTAAAGGTATTAGCGTACAAATTTCTATATTAAACAACTTTTTAAAAAAAGGTAACTTCAAAAAATTATCAGGGACTCATTTGTCTAGGGACGCAAATATCAAGTGACGCCTTTGTCTGGGGACGCAAATATCCAGGGACTCAATTATCTGGTACGCCATAACCTATGTATTTCTAGGTCCTTACGTCTGTTCAAGTTGACCATTTATCCAAATGACAGGATACATCCATCCTTTGAGAGGTGTTGTCTTTAATTCTGCTGGGTGTCTCCTCACCAAAAGACACCCTGGGGAGGTTTAGTTGACGATAACTCGACGATGTGGTAGGTTCTACGGGGTTATGTATTAAGTATGCAAATTTTTGCAGTATTCAAATTTCCCCTATTAAAGGGTATATATATATATATATATATATATATATATATATATATATATATATGGTTGTTTGCCAATAGCTGTGTTTTCGCTAGCATTGCTTTACTGGCCGAATTCACACTACTCAGATTTAATTAGGCAACTAAATTATTTTCTTTTTTGTACCTGGCCGCCATTTTCTTTCAAATTATCTCATGCACTGTGGCACCTCCTGAAGATTTGTCACTGAATTCAGCGGTTGCCCCGGATCTATCAAAGGTCTCTGACAAGGTGGGACATCAAGGACTGCTGTATAAACTCTCCATCTATGGAATTTCTAGAAGGACTCTCGCAATTATCAAGTTCTTCCTAATAGGTAGATCTCTGAATGGCATTGTTAACAGTCAGTCATCGGATGCCTATAAGATCAATGTTGGCATTTCTCAGGATTCCCTCCTCGATTCTACCCATTTTCTACTGATTACAGAGAATGAGAGCAAGACTAAGGAGGGTGTTTGAGGAAAGGATATAGAGAAGGACGGGTATCAGGATCAACATATAAATGGGAATTAGCGTGACGTCTAAGTAATCGCTATTCTCTATACAATCCACTATACTATTTCTCTATACTGATCTTAATACGAATTATTATTTGATGATTACTATTTGAACAAGTA